CAGGGCGGATCTGGGTTCACTTTGGTCCCCTGTGCCAGACTGTAGGTGCTTGCTGGGTAAATTAAACAACTGCCCGCCTGTCTGTCATGCCCATGGCCTTAAATACAGACTTGCAGGGTCTTCAGATGTCACACAGCGGAGGAGGGATGAGGTGATAGACTGTGTCTTGTCGTCTCCTACACCCCAGCCGCAGACTTCGTAACTTGTTTGTCCATGGTTTCAAATTGATGGTAAGGGGAATAGACTGGGCATCATGGCTAGTTATCACAGTTACAGAACAAACACAGACTGCACACAGGAGTTATGACAGACATTATTAGTGGTGGCTGGATTCGATCACTCAGATGACTGATGGCATGGAGGGCTTGGCCTTGATAGAGCTCTACATCACAAATGGTTTCTCCTGTTACATGCACTGGAGATCAATACTCCCACAAGGCCTGAAGCTCTCCAAGTACAGGTACATAATCCAAAGGCCAAAGATATCATTATTTGCTGCTTCTTTCTAACTCTTCCTTTCTCTGCTTTTTTTCCCTTTTTCTTTCCATGAGGTCGCCAGGGGGACTGTGAGTCTTCACGGGCTCGTAGAAGCGTTTACAGTGTAAGTCGAACCGCATTGTTCTGGAAAACCAGGTCTTTAATATCTTTCTGTTATCAGTTCCAAATGTTGCTAAGCTATAAATGTTTTACTGTTCAATAACTTCATATTGTAAAACTTCTGTTCTTGTTTGGGTTAACTTTGTGCTTAGCTGCATCCTTGCACTACAAATGCCCCTAAAATGATTATACTTTTAAATAGGAATCAAGCAAGCAGAGCTGAACAAATGTCACTCCAGACTTCTACCGTAAATACTTATGTGCCGTCTGGGAATCTGAAAGCCGATTAGTAAAACTGTTGAAAATTAGCCCAAGTTGCAATGGTGCATTTGTGTTGGACTTTAGTCCCTGTTAAATCCCAAATCAGGGATTACATTAAGCATGGGTGTTTGGAGAGCTTTCACATTTTAAGTTGTTTACACAAGATCTAATTTCACTGACATTGCAGAAGCAGCTGTTGTTTAAAGATTATAGTATAGTGAGTGGGTGGGCAGTAGTGAAATAAAATAAAATACCCAGATGGATTGATTAGCGATGCTAGGGGCAGCAGAAAAAAAGAAGCAGAGAAAGAGAAATCAAACCTGTCATACATGTCTGTTTGTGAACCAGTGAATCTGATGACAGGGGCTGCTGGGAAATCTCTGTAGGGAATTCCTTAATGGCATCAATGTGGAACACCCGGGCTGTGCAGTGTTATCACTCCACTCACCTTTCCTCTCCTCCCATCAGCTCACAAGACAGAGAGGGGGGGACGCAGTCTGTCAATGGTGATATAAAGTATTGTTATTGTTTATAGCCCGTACAGAGAGCCTCTCTCCAGGGATCTGAAGGAAAGAAGAGCATTTTACCATCTCAACGACTTCCTTATTCCTCAAGAGAGGCCTCATGCTGAAAGCGATATAAGAAGAAATGCCTTTGTTCGTAACCATGTTTTGCTCTTTTTTTTTGTTTTAACCCATTGATTTCTGGGATTCACAAACACTTCAGAGCGGTCGTACTAAGATAAGAAAAAAGGTGTTGTTTTTTAACACAGTCCACAAATGTTATGTCCAATGTAAGCAGCTTTAAATATCCCTGAATATCATCATATTCAATTTAGTTAATTATACGTTTTAGAGTAATACTGATGATTGGTTTGTAACATTTTGAGGCTTAAGAAATACTATTGGTTCATTTTTCCCAAATAAAATCCATAGATCAAGAACCTATTGTCATAGTGTCAGCTTCTGGATGACTTATAACTGCTTTAAGATGCTATTTAATTTTCCTGTAAGGCCAAGATTGAAGACATTGAAAATCATGTTTACTTTGTCTGAGTTTATTTATTTGTACCTCAATTTCCCCACTACTTGTTTCTTCTTCTAACAACTTTTTTTGGTGGCATCTCTCCCATTTTAAGGTATGTGCCATGTGACATTTAAACACAACACCTGCCCTTATAGAGTTTTTAGGGGAAGTTTGCTTTTAATAAACAATTGTTGACATGCCACAAAGGTGAAGATCAAATCGATTCAATATAATGCACACCTGTTGAGTAGACTTTAAGAACATTTGGTGCATTTCGAGTTGACTTGTCTTATTTTTCTCTCAGCATATGACTAAGAGATATTTAAGGGAATGTTCTCTTTTACATTTTTCATTAAAGTAATATATGAAAATGAATTATGAGGTGAATTTAATAAAAGGGTTAGGGTTTTCCTCAAGGTTTTCTAAATCACTTAATGTTTTTAAGTAAGTAATGTGATTAATAGCAACGGGAAACAGTTTTTCCTAATAACTGTCTCTGCCAAAAAACAAACAAGCATGTGAAACCATTCAATATGGCTTTTTCGATGCTTCGTGCAACTCAGCTGTTGGAAACATACCAAAAGTTAGCTTGAAATTAGCTTGACAGTTGGAAATCTTTCTTGTGACAGTGTACCACCACATGTTGTGTCTGTCCGTGTGCTCCACGCAATATTTCCCCCCGGCCATTTTGGGGACAGAGTGTGTTATCAGGACCAAGATGTATGGTCCAAACACCGACCGTGAACAGCAAATTAATCCCAGCAGTGCGAATGATCTACGGTGTTTACACTTTGTACGGAACGAATCAGACACGGTTTACACAACTCGTCATGTTTGCTGTGAGTGCCTCGCCTCTTGACACTATCTGGGCTTTACTTTCTCTGTGTGTGTTTTACAGAGGGATTAGATCTTCGCCGACACAGAAAGGAAAAGAAGAAGATCACTCTTGTCGCTGTCCTTGTGCATCTCGGCTAAACTGGGACACGGGGATCTGTCAATGACGTCCAGAGTAATTGAAATACGTAGATATGTAGAAATGCAAGCCTGGGTGATCAGATAAGCATTGCCATAAATAGTCTATACCTACTTGCTGCATCCTCTTATTTCCTGTGTCCGCTTAATCCACAGCATCATTACGGTCTGCAGTTATATAATCCTGTGCTTATCCTAAACATTGGTGTATGGTGTCTTGCGAGAAAATATGATAACAATGTTCATTTTCAGACTGTCTTCAGTTCCGAGTGAAAAAGAGCTTCTTACATTCATCTTCTGAAATAAAATCGAAACGATCATGTTACTTTTTTCGAAATTCAATTAGTCATATTGCATTGCAAACCCTGTTATTTTAACAGGTATTAGGGTCCATTTTCTTGCAAAGAGGTTGACATGTGTATTGATTGTCATTTAAAAAGGGTCACATTGCAAGGTATTTCATGATGTAACAGCACTTAACTATTTATTTATGTTGCCTAAACATACCCACGTAGCGTTGTTTTTGTCTTATTTTGTTTCACTCAAAAACGAAATTGAGAATGACGTTAAGTTAGGAAGGTAGCTTTTCCTCCCACTGGGCTATGCTTTATTATCATTGATGGGAAGTGATTATTTTAAAATGTCAGTTGGTCGAGCACTTACCTCCTCCTGCGCAAATTCAGCAGCTTACATTTTCACATTGTATTTATTTGAACTGAAGAGTGTTGCATTTCACTGGCTTTTGCCAAGTATGGACTTTCTACTAGCGGTCGAGCGGTATGGAATTAACAACACATGCATAAGTCTGAAATGTACCTTTATTGAACTGGCCACCGCAGTATTTCACGAGCTTGAAGAGTCCTAAGATGCACACAGTGAGACATTTATCGCATGGCCATTAGGTAAGGACTTGTTTTGAGTGTTTTGCAATGGACAGCAGTTTTAAGTGAGAGTTTAAAGAGAGTTTAATGTCTTTTTTTATAAAGGACTGAAGAAAAATGGTTCTGCTATGCATTTAATTTAAACTTCACAACAACTTCCCATCACTAACTTCATGCTCAACATAATTACCGGCAGTAACCATGCGCAACAATGCCACATTTTAATTAAAGAAGGTCATAAAGTTTGTCGGAAAAGGTCAAGCAGCCACGGCAAAGTCCCAAAGAGGAGCGTGGGGGTTGGGGAGAGTTTCCCTGAGAAACAGGCTTTAGGAGCTAAATGTGCCATGGAATCACAGTTTCCAACCCAGAGAGCAGCCACTGCCTTGGTAGTGCTGGAATACGAGAAACTATCAGGGTGTATTTCAAGTTTATTTACTCTTTCACCACTTCACTAAATGATCCTCTCGTCTAACACTCCAGGCCAAAAATGGAGAAAAATCTTCCAGGTTAGAATATTTCCCTCTTTCTGCTCAGCAATGTTTTCTTTTTTTTTCCGACAGCCTTAATGATATCTGCCGCTGTAATTGCTTCCTTATTTGGTGAATTAAATATTTACACTTGGCCTATCCTAATCCAAAGTTTACGAGAGAAGTGAAAGTACATTAAGAGGGAAAAAACATTTCTTTTAAAAGCACTGCTAACTGAGGCCATCACCCCAAATGGTGTGTTTGGATCGTTTTAGAGAGATAGTTTACTTTTTGAAAGAAAATATTTCCCTTAGCTGAATTCACACAGAGAGAAATTCCAGAATTGACTTCTCATTTAATGGCCTGACAGACATGCTGTGTGCACGGCAAATATCTGTCAGGCTGACGGGAGGAAACAGAGACGGCCATTGAGGAAACCTGCAGTTCTTACTTTGAAGAATTCCACTGAGGAGTGGAAGGGAGATGGGAGAGAGGGGGGGGGAATATACCTCAGAAAAGCTGGCCCGAACAAGGCCGCCATGGAAAAATACTGATGTTTAATGCACCAAAACGCCACCTCAAAAACATAGACTGCAAAAAAACAAGGCTGAGTGGAAGGTACAAGGGTTACATGAAGCAGGTGGAACTCTCAGCGAGAAAGAAGGCTGTTTCTTTTTCCAGACTCATCAGCGTAGTGTAAACTTTGAAGTGAACATGGATGGGTTTTTTGAGTTTGGAGCGACTGACAGAGTATCTTTCTCACAAAAATAAACATATGGCTGCAAACTATCCTTACCTCTCCTGCAGTGCCTCAGGGCCATTTTGCACATCCTGGACTCAGCGATGGTGGGACAGGGTATCGTGTCCTTAGGTGGTTTCTTTACAATGTGCCGCGTCCGGGTCTCCAGACCCCACTTATAGCCACAGGTTTTGTTTCTCCTGGTGCAGGCTCCCCATTCACTCCACTGGCCCACCTCACAGCCTTCTGCAAAGACAAGCAGAATCAGTTATGTGCAGTGAAACCACGACAGAGTGCAGGTCAATGTTTAATACAGGGCCAAGGTTCTTTTACGGGTATTTATAACCTCTTAGTGTGGGGTCCCTGTTCAACTGTTTGTTTCTTAATCCAAAAAAAAGCAGGCCAACTGAAAAGTTTTATGATAACATGTACACTACATTTACAAAAGGAAAGGTTAACATACAACATCCACCAGTTACAAAAACGTATGACGATAAACCTTAATTTTAAATATAATTGCTAGGCAAACAAGCATGAAGCTACTTATAACTTGTTCTAACCTTAAAATGTGCTATTGTTATTAAGCTATGCTAATGTTGTTAGCAAAATAACGTGACATTAGCATGAAAAGTGCAAAAAACTGATATAACGATTTCAGCGTTAGAAAATTCTTAAGGTTAGAAACTGTTATCTTCTGCCTTAAAATTACTTTACTTTATAATTTGCATTAGAATCTAGAAATTAGGGTTGTTTTGTTTACTTTGGTGATAATGAAGAATTTTGTGAAACTTATACAAACTGATGAACGCACGCTGATGTATCATTATGACCATCTCTAGTATACACAATTTTAGAAGAAGCTTAACAGTCAGAAATGGTCTGACAGAGTAGGCAATGTTGTTTATTAAGGTTGGACGTTTCTTTAATTATTTGTACATATTTGTGTCATGTAACGTACCTCCACACTCCATGGTTTCCTCCAGCGGGGCAAAGCCCTCGGGGCACTTCTCAAAGCAGCGCCCTTTGTGCAGGTAAAAGCCTGACTTGCACTTGGTGCAGAAGTCTTTGTTGAAGCAGGACTCGCAGTTCTCTATCCTGCACCCTGGAGGAAGAAGGGGGAAAAGAGGAGAGTCGTCAGGGTCTGAGATCCCTCTCATCTGGAGTTGATCGAAAGCTAAGGGGTTTGGGGATGGGGGTTCTTGAAAGGATTATGCTGTCTGTCCCACAAAAAAAAGATTTGTCGCTGCCCAGTGAATCATTTCTCTCCAGGGCTCAAGCGTATTTCAGAAAATGTGTTTCGCTTGACAGATATTTTATTTTTCATCTTCCTGTTCATGTTCGGAATGTTCAACAGTGTGAAAAAACAACATCAGACAGTGAGGCACTATGTCATGCTGGGCTCTTTCAACATATTGCACCAACATCCAACAATCTGGAAACAAACACAGAAGCTCACATGTTTTCAACTAACAGTGTGCTGCAACAGGAAGAGTACATCCCATTAGGTGTCCATAATATGCTATTTTATCACTGCACCCTGCTCCAACCCATGTCTGTGTCCATAACTGAGGATTATTGTGAAGTCAGGTTTTAATTATAAGGAATATGAGGGCTCATAATCAAAACGCCAGCCATCTGTGCGGAACCATTAAGTTCTGGCTACGATATGGAAGGTTAAAAGGTGAGTGAGGAAGGGATATGCATGGGGAGGGGGACACCATTTAGCTCTGCCTCACCAAACAAATGTTGATGCATTAAGTCAGCAAAAACAACAGCACACTTACCCTCCCACGCCACACCCTGCCGGCTGCGCGCGACACGCAGCGGGGCGCTCGCAAAGAAAGGCACAGCAATGTGTCATCAAGCTTTTACTCTGCAAATAGCACATCAGGCAGGGCCAAATTACAACAACCACACCAGCAGGGCGACGTGCAGGCCCACATGATTAGAAGGAGCCTCCCAGAGCTGGCTAATTTATGACGTTCCTGACAGGATCTATGTGTTCCAATAGGCCTCCAATGTCGGGAAACCACATTTTGTAACCTGCAGCCACTGTCACCCTCCGCCTGTAGGTAGGGTGTCATTTGCTTCACTCATTGTGCCTCGAACGGAGACGCATCCACACATTAGCGCGTGCGCATTTCTCTGCGCGTAAAACCTGCGTTACTGTGATTTTCCACTTGTGAGAGCGGAGACGGGTGCTGAGGGCTGCTCTTTTATCTGTGACCCTTGCAGGGCCCGGGGAAGGGAAGGTTCTCACAATCACACCCCTTAATTACACCATCTCCAGCTAACCATCAGGCCTCCTCCTCGACATTCCTCCAAAACGAGGGGGTCCCTCCCCGCTTTACTTTGAACCCTAAAGTATGGCCTCTGCCCACTCACTCTGGTCTCACGCTTTCCCGACGAGTCTAAACAAACCATGGATACACACACATATGCACAAACACACACATACCAATCAGATATGGCTGGAGATAAACCCACTCTGCAATGAAGCTGTACTCTGCATTCTGAAAAGACGTCAACACACTGACCATAAATCGCTGAACCCTTTGGTAATTTCCTGTGTTCTCACATCACGTTATTCATTTAATTATTTGATTTGATCTTATCTAGGTATTACCTTTGCTCCGTTTTATATTATATCACAACATATGTCCTGGATCTCGGGAGTTACGCGGTACAGTAGAAAGATTTTGGGCTGGAATGTGTACGTCAAACTTATGTAAAGTGTTTTTCTGTCTTTTTAATTCTAGCTATCTGCATCTTATCCACTTTACTCTGAATCAGTCAGGCTTAATACAAGAGAAGCCCAATACAAGAAGCAGGCTAATAAATCACAGACCTAATTGGAATGCACTGAGCTGTCTTTTACCCTTCACACTTCCCAGGCCTGTCATCACCTGAGAGACTTTTAGCTCCCAAACAAAAAAAACAAAAAGACTAAGCGAGGGGAAAAAGAACATCTGGCAGTTCTCTAAAGCGCTGGGGTTGTTGTGCAATCCTCAGTTATTGACGGTAAATAGGAGCAACACAGCTGTGTGAAATACTGTATCGTGCAGCAGCAGTGGCACCTGACAAGTGTTTTGATTAAAACATCCCATCAGTAAGGCAATGCCACAAATGCCCGGAAATGTTCTAAATAGAAGATAAGTAATAATGTCTTCTCTGCAGGATTGATGAGGTGGTTGGTACATCAATGCGGCTCCATGGGAGTTAGAATGCAGGGAGGCAAAGCTGAAGGGTCAGAGGTCATCCGAGAGCGAGACGGGTAGGAAAGGATCGCACTGACATACATTTATCCTTCTGTCCAGTTATCTGAACAAAGGCTATCTGGGACAGCGTAGGCTATCTCTGACACTGGAGAAGCTCCCACACTGATCAATGGTCAGTTAGGCTAACTCGGCCAGCAGCTCCAGAAACTGATACAGGGGAGCGGGTTCATTCTCCCTGCAGGATTAACCTCTGGACCACCTTTAAAATCTTCGTATAGGTGCCTCAGGGAGACTAATGAGAAATAATGAGGTCATCAGATCCCATTGAAGGCCCTCTGTTCCCGGGACTTAAACGTATTATCATCATTATCTCCCAGCCTGGTTCTGGCCTGTGAGTTATAGGCCTGTGAGTTATATCATGAACACAGGAGGAACAGCCTTGTGTTTCAGCTTTGAAAGGAATGTCAAAAGCTGAATAGGCCGAGGATTTCTGAGGGGTCGTCTACAAATTCCCCCATTGCCCATTTTCCCAGATACACTTTTGTGTTTGTTTGGCTATGCGATTGAATGGTTTGCGGTATGCTTGTCAAGTGCATTTGGAGTTGAAAGATGATGTCACTTGTGATCTAATGGCGCAAACTTGGCGGTCCCTCAGCTGCGGTATTGGTAGGGAACCCACCGGTATTATCACGGACACTCAAAGCCTCAAGTCAGCTCTAGTCAACTGTGGTTCCTCTGCAGCCTGACAGCACCATGTGAATCACTCCATTCATTTACATATTCACTATGAAAGCAAAAAGGCGCTAAATCATTTAGATGGATGATCTCTCATGTTCCACACAGGTTTTTTTTTTTTACGTTATCTGAGTTGGAGTCTCAGACCAGTCCACAAAGCTAACCAGAACCGATGTGGCGCAGCAGGAGTGTCGGTATCGTAAAAGACCTGGCAATGTGATGGGGAAAACAAGACCTATTTTTTTCCATTGTTTGACTCCAAGCTGGGTTGAACAGCTCTGACCTACTCTCTAGGCCCCAGTTTTTGGCTGACATGGAGGCTTTGGCTTGCTCGCTTCTACACAGCCATGTAGTGCGGAATATCAGGAGCTCTTGGCAAAGGCCAGAGCTGCCATGTTCTTCCCAACTGTCTCTGTGCTGTCTTGTTTCCACCTGCTCCTCAGTGCGTCAATGTACAGCTAGGTGAAGCAGAAGTGGTGTTCCTGTCAATCGGTATCTCCCAGAGAGAGAACAGCAATGACAGATGTGTCAGCAGTCTTCCTAGCGTCTCCACTCCAAGGATTACAGTCTGCTCCTGTATCTGTTTAGCATACACGCAGACAGCTCGAGCTTCACACTGTGGTCAAGCACAGACAGCCTTTCCATTCTCAATAAAGTACACACAGTGAAGTTGTGAGAAATAACCCTATTCAACTCTGCGCCTGGCTGTGATTTTGCCGGTCCATTGTATTGTCTGGCAAATCTGAAAGAGTAAATGTGTGATGGTTAAATGTCCCTCGATAAAGCTCAAAGGCCAAAAGCAACTGGGTCTTTTTGTTGGTCAGACCGTGCAATGGAAATACCCACAAGCTCAGAATTAGTGAGAAAGTGAGAACTTGAATGAAATACATGGAAAGAGGCTGCCAGCGCCTCCAACTAAAGGTTACAAAAACCCATATTAGTTCCTTTTTACAGCCTCGGAACCAACATGATTCATGGCTCTTTTCCACCTCAAACCCAACGATTTCCCAAGGTGTACTTTAAAACTAAAATGATCTTGGAAATGGCACATCCAATCACCTTCTACTTCCAGATGTAATTTTATGTGACAAAGCAGCGAGAAATACAACAATAGAATCTGGTAATAGATTTCCTCAGTGTGAGCAACCCAGTAAAAAAAGAAATCACAATTGGAAATCCAAAACAATTACCTCTGACAGAGAAGTCTCTAGCGGCACATTAGGCTGGCACTGACGGGACTGTGATATTTAAACCACGCTCTCAGGATATTGGCAATCCCAGGCCTTGATCTGACTGGATGTTGGTTGGCAGGGAACACAGCTGGGTTTTTTGCGTGTTTGAAAGCATGCTGCAGTAGGATAAGGCAACTCGGTTGGTGGCTAGAGTGTGTATGTGTGTGTAGCAGTGGGGGGTCCTTAATATGCCCTGAGGGAGGACGTTTTGAATGCAGCCTTGCTCCCATGCTGACCCTCTCAACACTTTCTCTTTTCAAAAAGACAGCTCCGATAGTCCCCTTTCAGCTCATAATTCTTAAGCCAGAGAGAGAGCTTGCATGCGATACAAAATGACAGAATATGCTTTTGCCTGGGAATGTATGTTTAAAAAAAAAAAAGAGGTATTATGAAATGTGGCCCAGGAGAGAGCATGACTGCACCTCATTCACACATATTTGGCTGTACATAAAGCGGCGTACTGTGTGAGCGTTGCTACAAATCTTCCATGCCGAGCGGTGGGTTGACACCCACAGACACTGGTGTGGGGCCTCTTCTGGGCGGCTGATAAGAACCCCTGTGGATAACACTGGAGTTACTGCATATGGTTTATGGCTCATATGAACCTATCCATTAGCTGCTGAAAGGAGTTCTTGTAGAGCAGGGACCTAAGAACATAATTTATGGACATACAGGAAGGTATTATGCAAGAAAAAGACATCGCTAACGAACCGGCTACAGTTAAGTGATGGTTGTTAACATTGTGGCTCCCATGTTTGGGGCCACTTGAGTCCAGCTCAAGTGTAGGTTTAAATGGGCCTTTAGTTATGTAATGTTGCGGAAAGTATAGTTAACATTGTTGTTGGCTGTAATTATAGAGTCATTTTCTCTGCAGTGTAGGATAATCCCACTTAGAATGAAAGCCGTACATTTAAAATTCATCAAGTTAGGCACATGTCCTTAAGTAGTCATTACAAATGAGTTATTGGCATGGTAAGGTAAATACACCACCATTCATAATAAAAAAAAGTAATTCATCGTAACTTCTTTATATTTTTCCAAGACTGACATTCAAGAACATTACAATAGAAAATAAATGCTGATTTCTTTGCAAATAGCTTGATTCAAAATGATTTAATTTGCCCTTTATTACAATAAAATACAATATTCAACCATTTCTGTGATTGAAAAGGGCATTGTTTCAAAGTGTGTACAGTCTGCATACAAATGCAACCTCCTTTTGTTTTTCTACTTTTAATATGTTTGTGTCATGAGATGTTTGCCCTGTGCATGCTGGGATACTTTATAGCCCACACATGATGCTCAAAATAAATTCTAAATGCCGTTTACAGCATTTTTCCCAAAAAAAAGACTTTAGATTAACATGAACAGAAAAGGATTATTTAAATCTACAATTAGCGGTATTGCACTGGCCTTAAGCTCATTATCGCTAAAACGTTCCTATCCTAGAAGGAAACCGAATATTACTAGTCTACAGAGCATAAAAGTGTGAATGGCTCTCAGTCACATGCTTCAGGAGGCCCTCCGAAAATACTGAACACTAAGCCAGTGACTGGATGAGTTTACAAGCCTCTTGTCTTGGCTCTTGTTTTCCTTTATCCATGGCAGTCCACAAAAAAAAAATCTTGAATGAGATAAGATCACACAGGGAAATTCAGTTGTAATAATAAGCAGCTGCTCCCTGAGTGATTTCAGAGCCTGTGTTTAAAAAGCTCATGATAACAGAGACGTAATGCCACGTTCCAGGCCTCTTTGGAAACCAGGAGCACCCGTCAGCTTTGACCGCAGCGGGAGAGAGCCCGTCACCGTCATTTGTTCTCTCATAGGTACCAGTGTCAACTCACCATTCCCTGACCTGACAATTAGCCTCCAACCCAGGAAAATATCCTCTTACTAAAGTTGGACCTGAACTGTTTATTGAAATTGACATGCAGGGCGCAGCTGAGAATGAGGGTCAAAAAGGAAACTGGATTAGAAAGCCATGACTGAAAGAGCGATCACATCAAAGTGGTCCTCACTCTGAGATCTGATGCTACGTGACAATACAAGATGTTGTTCTATGAGCAGTATGTACAGAGAGGGATTCAGATTAACTCGCCGCACTCAGGATCAGTTCAAGTCCAAATGTACCCAATATGGGGATACAGCGGTTAGGATAGTGGGATTAAAGTAAAGAAAAAGGGTAATTTAACAGAGAACAAGATGTCCTTCTGTTCCAATTATATGAGTCATGAAAAAAGGGTTTAGATCGCTGTTACTGGTTAAAACTGCAGAAGGAGATGTTCTAAGCCGTAATGACTAAACTGCTGGGGCATAGGAGAAATCCCCGTAATTGGACCTTTTTCGCTTAAATGGAATTTTTAGGTAAACTGAATTCCGATTAAAGATAAAATAAATAAAACAATGCATCTGGAAAATATCTTAATTGTCTCATTTGGCTTATTGTGTAATCAGACACTGGAAACATTTGGGAAAATAACTTCAAACACTAAGTGCCTGTAAAAAAATGCCATATCTTCATATTTGAGAAAATGTGAAGATATCGTTTAACATGTAGCTAAAAGGTATTTAGGCCTAATGACAATCAAAAGCTAGCTTAGCATTAGCATTGATGACATTGTTGGTTATGCAAATAAGTCAAAATAAGTTTATTTTAAGTTTCCCACAGGTAAAGTACAGTGGCCTTTGGGGTAACATTTCCGGTGTTTGACACATCCATCCAACCTTAGCCTCTTCCTAAAGTAGGAGGCTGTAGAATCCCAGCATGTCCAGCTAAACACAAACAGGCTCTCACGTCAAACTGTAAGATGTATGGGTACTGAAGTTTTAATTTTCTCTTTTTTCTTCCTGCGGTTGCTACATGTTTGCATTATTGGGCCTAAAAGTCCGGACACCCTCCTCTGGTGCTTTCGTCTGTCAGGATTTTGGCACTGGGAAACTAAACGAGTTCAAGTTTCTCTCTGTTTTCTTATGAAACACTCAGCCAACACCTTTGGCACCGTGTTATAAGATAAAAAGGCTCCGTCTCTCTCTACGAGCTTAGTTCATGTTAAAATAAGGTTATGAGATCCGGGTGCTGCATAAGGAGGAGAGGGACACATTTAATTAATTGGATTTCAGAGTTATTCTTTAACGAGAATCACAAGAGCATATAACATTTTTCGCTGCAATTGTTTGGATTTTCTTTTCACAGTAAAGCATAATTGAAAGGGTTAGACATGTGTGCGTCATCTACTGTATTTTCCACAACAAGATTTGTGAAAAAATAACATTTCATATTTTGACTTCAGGCCACATGAGTAATATGTTTAAAAAGGAGACTATTAATAAAAGATCTAATGCGTTTTTATCTCTGAAACAATCATTAAAAATGAGCCAAATTTAGAAATCAGATCATGTGTGTACTCTCCCTGAATTGACTTCTAATCTTCTGGGCTTTGATGCACTTAATGCTTTGTTTTTTTTAATCGAACTTCAATAAACGCACAGTTGGTGGTGGAGGATCTGGACACTTCAATTGAGACTGGGTTTTTTTTCAAAGTCAAAGACGTCATTGGCTGCCAATAAATTACACTGTCTAGTGAAAGTCTAAATCCACAAGCTCTTACAGGCGAGCTACAAAAGAGGTCAGTTTCATTCCCTAATGCGGATATATAATCACCTTTTATAGTTCAGATGATATTGAATGACATAGCCAAAAGTGCTTTTAATGTGGGCGTTTGAGTCTCTGGGGTCGGTTTGGCTGAATCTGTAGTGCATCTTGGTTGAATTTGCACCTGAATGTCATGCCTTCAAACATCCTCGTGACTGTAGGATGTTTGGTATTGTAAGTGTAGAGGGGGTGTTAAAGATAAATGAGAAACAGCGATCGTCCTTGCTGGAGTTCACCGTTAAATCCCGAGGGTGACACCGCTTAGACGAGGCTTCACTACTTACATCCACCTGTGTGGACGAATGAGCCGTTAAAATTGCGCGGTATGTGTGTCTCCTATGGATAATTGAAAATAAATCATGTGCTGTGAGACAAAAGGGGAGGTTTAGGGACTGTGTCTCTGGGGAAGATGTGGTGTTGTTGGGGGGAAAGAAGGGGAAAGCCAGGGATGTTAGGGGTGGGGTTTGGAGTGCGAGGTTAAAAACTCAAAAGGACTTACTGGAGCACATGTTGAGTTCGGGGCTGCGCATGCCATAGTATCCGGCTGGGCAGTCGTGAAGACACTCCCCGTACTGCCTCATTCTCTCTCTTCGCAAAAACAGGAAGAGTTTGGGCTGGCAGTTTACACAGCCGTTGTCCCTGGAGCACACGGAGCAGCCTTTGCAGATGGGGTACGTTCCATAGCTAGCTGCAGGACACACAGAGGAGTAAACAGTGAAGGTGATTAATACAATGGAAGTAAATCGTCAAACAATATCTGAAACCTCCCCACAAAAACAATTCTGATGTCAGTGATTCTTCCAGCTAATTTTGGAAATTTGTGATTTTTGAATATTTATCTCCAGCCCTCCTTTTTATCCCTCACAAGGCTATGTACATTTAGAATACACAAACAAGTTCTCCTTCTAGCGTGATTGTCTTTTAGAAAAGAGTGTCTATGCAGTGATGTATATTTGATGATCATCATGTCTCATCAATCTCTATGAAAGCTGGCTTTTCACAGTCGTGTCTGGGTGGGAACCCTCGATTTTGCATTGACCTCAAATTGTTAAGGTTAGGAAAGTTCCTCATTTGGTAGGTCTTACTAAAGATTTGCAATTTGATTCATTTGCAATTTGTTCACTAAAAGCTTTGAAGACTTTTGCCTTCAGACCTGGTTTGTTTACAAGTAATATGCACTTGTTCAGTAAGCACACTCTCACCTTTAGACCGACCATTAACTTAGAGTAACAAACATTGCCCATAATCAACTTTATTGAAGATGTCTGGCTTAAAAACTTTGCAAGAGACCCGTAAACCTTAGCATAAATGCTTTATACCTTCACTCTTAAAACGAGTGAAGACCCCAAACTTCTTGGCCATCGCACAATGCTTGAATGTTGCACCTCATCACTGTGCCGCATATTCAGCCAGTTTACATAATGACCTAATGATAGTGCGAAAAGCACACAGTGGGACAACCAACGATGTAAAATAAGGGCAACCAGTGAGCACCAAAAATTCAATGCCCAGATTCTTTACTGGTCTGTACACATGTACACATCTCTTACTCTGAATGAGGATTATGTGTTCATTATTTGCCTACAGTTATTATAGATCTTACATCTCATCCTGTGTGGGCCTAAGAGAAAAAAGCTACGTTTCAATATGCGGTCTACAATGAAAGATGACTTTAATATAGTGGTTAAGAACGCTGTTTATTCTCCAGTAGTTACTGAAAGGCAGAATTCATTGAGATCGTCATATCATCCCTCATGTGTGGATGACCCTGTCTTCACCAGATGACAAGGACATGGTGAACTCAAGCAATCAGACTCAACTGTGGGAGGGCTGACCAGCAGAAAACAAGAATACAAACCAACACAACCATAATAGATATATCAGCAGGATGTTCTGTAATTCATAGTAAATAAGTCCAATTCTACAATTTGTCATTCATGAAAACTCTGGCTCCCCTCTTGCTGTTTGAACCCTGATTGGTTATGAATGTGAATATTGCATTAATTCTGGTCAGAGCTGGCCCTCTCGAACAGTGTCAAGGCAGCCGACGAAAGCCCCCCAAAACCGCAGTGGCTCTGCCCTCGGCTTGAGTTGCCAGTAACAAGACAATCCATTCCACAATAAGTGACTTGCAATGTAAACTCCTTAGCGTCCCATTTACAGGAAAATGTCCTAGGGCGAAACCAATCACACTTCAGTTGATCTAAGCCAAGTCTTAAATATCACAAACAGGGAGCTGGTAACAAACTGAGCGACCTACCACAACGCTTTATAAAAAACACTGTACAGCAAACTGGACAAAACCTGAGAGACAGAGCGGAGCACGCCTGCGTTACTGGCCGTCGCTCCGCATATTACATTTCTTCGGTCAGATTTGCCCAGACGAAAGTGAGCTCTAAGAGGACTCTGTGCAAGCATCAGTTTATAATCGTTTGAAAGCAGTCAGCGGACGTCAGACTTTTCATTTCTTTTGTTGGTTTGCTGGTCTTCAGAGAGGTATGCTGGCCCTGCCAAGCTACACTCATTCTTCTGAAGCCAGGGTTGATGGAAGTGAGATTAAGTGCTAATCAGAAAGTGTCTCTTTTGGTCTTTAGGGATGACGTTTACAGCGACACCCCATCGATCACAACAGCGCAGGGCTGTGCGCTCGGAGCATATTCATCACACAGATTGGTGATTGTCTGCAGTCAGCACTCACTTGCTAGAACGCAAAGGAGAAACCATAGATTTGGCACTTTCAAATCGTAGATGAAAAATGGTGTCTTATGTCTGAGATTTTATTATGTTGTATATCAGTTTCCAATGCTGTTATCTTCTTTTTTCTCTCAATTCAGCAGTCAGTAGCTAATTGACTCTACTTGGGGGCACAGGTGATGTTATCGAATTTATAATTGTCTCAATTACAGTATTCAGCATTTTTACCTTGTTGATTTACTAAAGTTACTGTGCAAGCTTCTTTCTCCTGATAGTTTCACATATGTATATGTTTACACACTTTTAATAATAATAATAATTACATAAAAATAAGCTTAAAAAATTGAAAAGGTCATTTAAAAAAAAAGCTGTTGCAGCTGTTTTAAAAGTTTCCGGTAAGACCAAAATCTGATTATAATAGAAGATATATTGTATTTTATTCTTTCAATCCTTCCATTCAGTAAAACTTAACTGAAGCATTAGACCAAACCTCATACTTAACCATATATTTCTGTAGAGTATACAGTCAGGGTTGTGTTTACAGCAAGCTGACATTCACATTAACTTGCTCACATTGACTCTCTCTGGCCCTCGCCAAACTCGAACACAACACTGTCAGGAAGGGATAGCCAACTTGGCAAAAGTGAAAAACTGTAAAGCTGGAAAGCTTATTTCTCTTATGAGCGGGCTCAACTCTATGACTACTGACAGAGTGCTAACAATACTATCCTAGCAATTATAGAAAAACTTGATCAGGGCCTGTGGTCATCTTAGATCACCGGCCAGTCAATCAGCAAAATAATTAAAGTCACTTCAAAAGTTTCTTCAGGACTCAAAGAACTCACTCTTCCTTGGCAGACATTTGTTTAGCTGATTCTCGCAATTCACACTGATTAAGAACCATATAATCATTCGAATGCAGCAGACCCCAATTCCTGGAATTAGCATCCGATTCAGGGAGAAAAGGAAAGGCTGTATACGATGTAGAGAAACTCTTTTGGTGCTGATCTTGGAGATTAGCTTGATGTGTGTGTCTGTGGAAAGGTTTGGAGGTTCAGGCCACAGGTATGTCAGGAAGGAGGCCACAATTCACAGTGTCTGGAGCAGCGCCGTCCAACTCACGTCCTACACTACCGGTATAATGTCTCGCGCTTTACATCAACCTTTCAACTGCCAAGCAGGTTTCAGCCAATCTTAGAGAAAACACTCATTCATATGAATCAGATTTTTGAGACTAGAATAAATACAAGGTAAGCTCTTTAACAGAAAAACTAAAACAAGTATTTGGAAGAGGCTTGTGAGTAAAGCATCTTACCTAATTGTGCTTTATTGGCATGACAATTGGTAACAGTTGCCAAAGCATGTAGCAGCCATGTTTTTAATTGGCACTAAAGAAGACAAAAACCAAAGGAAAGATAGATCATTGCAGTTCAACCTAACTTGGCAGGAACATATTATCTAATATGCGATGGGATTCCTATTTTTTTTGTTGCAGATTGTGTCTCTCTGTTCTGAAACTAGTAAACACATTTCAACACAATCCATCGGAATTGCTTTCTGACTAATGCTCAACATCCTTTTGTGGGTTACTTTTTCCCCCCACAAAACATGTAATCTTGGAACTTTGAGCATTTCGTCTGTCAATCATGTTGAATCCGAAGTGTTCTATGATCAGAAAGTGGTAAAAGAAAGGATTCCTGGAGAGAAGTGTTTACACGCCATGGAAAATGCCACTCCCTGCGTACGATTAACATGATACCGTTTACGGTTTCAACCAAAGAATACATTCTATGTGAAACAAAACAAATCCACAGTTCCCACTTCTGACAGCCAAGTGAAGATCCCTCTAAGCCTCAAGTAGTGTATTTACAAAAAGCAGTGTCCATATGAACATCACTGAACAAGCTGCACACACTTTTAACAAAGACTTAACAAGTGCCTCAATGTGTCATGTCTCCAAGCTATAAAGCTGCTGCTGTACATGGACCACATGAAGGACCCTGCATCTTCTCCCTCACACTTCAACAATATATTGTTTCAACTAGACTGAGGATGACTTTGTGTAACAAATGTTAAATAAATCCCTTTGCTAATTTACATCTACTGGGGGAAACGCAACTCATGTGTGCGCCTGCTTTTAAATGAATATGTTGACATGTCGGGACGTATGTATATTTGCTCTCTTGTGGAGAGTTATATTAGAATATGTGTGCGTGTTAATATAAAGCTACAACCAGCAGGCTGATGACTTAGCTTAGCAAAAAATCTGGAAACACTTGTAAATAACAACTGTGACTGTTTACCAGTGTCTAGTAATTATGCTAAGCTGCACGCTTAGTTCAAACTCTTGCAAATCAAGCTAAAGTGTATTTCCACAAACCATGGCTTCGTCAACAAATTGATAAGTGGTTCTACAAAAACAAATATAACAGCTATTTTTGCAATTGATTAATCCTTTTAGCAAAAATGTCAGAAAATGGTGGGGGGTTTTTGCCGTCAATGAACTTCATACAGGGAAGTGGCTTCGGAGATATCCATTGATAAGGTTCTTTCATTCATGCAAGACATTCAGGCTCAAAACATGAAGAATGACGGCATGTTTGGAGTGAAGCACTTTCCTTCTATAGCCATAGGCTTGCTGGGAGGTTTGCTCTGAAGCAGCTCAAGAGCAATTAGGGTCGCAGCGAGATCCAGCAGAAACCCAAACTCTGTCTCAGGTACGTTTTTATGAGTCCAAAGCAAGCGTGACAGACTGCGCTCAAGGCTGCCAGAAACCTCTACATGTACAGGGGGTTCCACCCACGGCAGCTTCACTTCCTGCCTTCCACTCACCTACCATTACCCATGAAATCATTCACATTGACCCATTCCCACTTTCTGAAACCGAAGACCCTAACAAGGCAAATTGCACATAATGTTTGTGTTTCTTTTAGAGCCCCAAACTTAACATTGAGAACAAGAAGACAGTCTTACGTAGGGTTTCACTGATGTGGG